ACACTGGTGTCCTACACTTCCTGCCATAAAGGGCTTCAAATAGAGCCATATTAATATAGGAAAACTCCATTAAATGCAAATACGTATCCCAACTGCTTTTGAACTCCAAAACACAAGCCCTCAATATATCCTCAAGAGTCTGTATAGTCATCTCGACGGCAATCTGTCTGTGGTTGAAAAGCTGTACTGAAAGGTAGCTTAGTATGACTCCCTGTAAACTGGCCAAAATTTGGATGTAAATCGAAGATCTGTATAAGATATAATAGACACTAGAGCATCATATAAGCTATCTATCTCATCCACATACAACTTTCCAACTTACTTAAAGAATAAGTGATTTTGATTGGCAAAAATCTGGCAGTCTTGGTCAAACGATCTACAATCACCCAAATACTATCATGACGATTCTGAGTACGAGGAATAACAAACAAGAAGTCCATGATAATGTGCTCTAACTTCCATTCTGGAATACGCAAAGGTTGTAGAGGTCCAACTGTTTTCTGACGATCTGGTTTCACCTATTGACAAACCAGACATTTTGATACAAATTCTTCTATCTCTCTCTTCATGCCATTCCATCAATAATGCTATTTCAATGTATGATACATTTCAGTACTACCTAGTTGCATCGCATAAGTAGAACTGTGTGCCTCTTCTAAGATCCTCTTCTTCAATTCTGTGACATACGAAACACACAACATGTTTCCCATAACCAATAGACCATCATTTCTAATTGTATAATTTGTTCTTAACCCAGTACTAACTTCGGGCTTTCAATATTCTCAGTGTCAGATCTTGAGATTGGGATAACCCAATCCTATCCACCAGAGTAGGCCTCACTTGAAAATGAGCTAATACCGCCCCTGAAGTAGTAGATGACAATTGAGCATGCAACTTCCTGAACTCACACAACAAAGCAAAATATATTGTATTGGATTGAGAGGAAGAACTAGTCTTTCTGCCAGAGCATCTGCAACCACATTAGCTTTCAACGGATGGTAGTTAATCGTACAATCAAAATTCTGTATCAACTATAACCTTTTTCTTTCTCTCAAATTCAATTCCTTCTAATTAAAGATATACTTCAAACTCTTGTTATCCGTAAATATCTGACATTTTTCACCATACAAATAATGTCTCCAAATTTTCAATGCCAACATCACTGCAGCTAACTCTAGGTCATGTGTTAGATAATTTATTTCATGCTTCTTCAATTGTCTTGAAGTATAAGCTAACACAACCCAAACCTTGGCATAAAGCATTACTGTACACTGTAAACTCTTCACCTGGTGAAGGAAGAGTAAGTACAGGAGCAGAAGCTAATCTATTCTTCAATTCTTGAAAAACTTTCTCGCATTGCTAAGTCCACATGAATTTAGAGTCACTCTGAGTCAAACTGGTCAAGGGAAGGACAATTTTGGAGAATCCCTTTATAAATCGATGATAATAGCCTGGTAATCCAAGAAAACTCCGTATCTCAGCCACGTTAGTAAGGTGTTCCCATTTCATCACCGCCCTGCTTTCATAGGATCTATATAGATGCCTTCTGTAGAGATAACAAGACCTAGAAATACCACTCTGTCAAGCCAAAATTCACATTTGCTAAATTTAGCATACAATGCTTATCTCACAAAGTCTGCCTCATCACGACTACGAGAATAGATCAATATATCATCAATGAAGACAATAACAAAATTATCCAGATATGGATGAAACACTCTATTCATCAAGTCCACAAATGCAGTCAGAACATTAGTTAATCCAANGCATCATCAAAAATTCATAATGACCATATCGAGACCTGAAAGCAGTCTTTGGTACATCAACAACTCTAATTATGAGATGATGATATCCCAAACGCAAATCAATGCTTGAAAATATTGAGGCACCTCGAAGTTGATTAAACAAATAGTCAATATGGGTGAGAGGGTACTTATTGCCAATAATCACCTTATTCAACTGTCTATAGTCAATACATAATCTCATTGTGCCATTTTTTTTCACAGATAAAATAGGTACTCTCCATGGGGATACACTGGGTCTAATGAAATCCTTATCAACCAAATCTCGTAATTGTACCTCTAATTCCTTCAACTCCTTTGGAGCCATCTGATAAGATGCATGTGAAATAGGAGCTATCTCGAGGAGCAAATCAATATGGAACTCGATCTCCTTGTCTGGGAGTAATCCCGAAAGGTCTTTTGGAAAGACATCAGGAAAATCTCGCACAACTAATATATCGACAATATCTAGCTTAGTGATCTGAGTATCAGTCACATGAGCTAAATATGCATGACAACCCTTTTGTGCATTCTCCGGGCATCAAGGACAGATATCACACAAGATGGCAAAACTTTGTGCTCTCCAGTGAGAAAAATTTCAAGCTCTCTTGGACTTATAAATACCACTTCCTTGCGAAAACAATCGACTGAAGCATGATGTTTAGATAGAAAGTCTACCCCAAAATAACATCAAAATCATGAATATAGAATGGAATTAGATCTGCTTTCAATTCATGATTGTTCACTCTAATCCCACAATCTTTGTATACCTGATTAGCTAAAAGTGAATTCCCTACGGGAGTCACTACTACCACTTCGCTGTCTAAAAGCTCTAACATCTAATTAGTATAGTTAGCAAGTGCATGAGAAATAAAGGAATATGTAGCACCCAAATCAATTAAAGAATGAGCATTTCTACCAAAAATAGATACCATACTCACGACCACATTTGGTGACTCCTTTGCCTCTTGCTGAGTCATAGCAAACACTTTGCTCTGAGTCTTGGATTGACCCTCCTGGGCTCCCTGTCTAGAAGCACTGTCCCTAGCAACATTATGTTGTGTGTTCTTCGTTGACCCTGCTGATGTAGCTCTCTAATCCCAATTCTATCTAGTCGTAGTGATCCCTGGCTGAGAAAATACTATTGAGATGCTCCAATATGCTGAGATCGAGCTGGACAATCTTTCCTTATGTGTCTCATCTGACCACACTGGTAACAAACTCCAGCTCCTCTGAGACACCTGCCTGAATGAAACCTCCCACAAGATTAGCACTGCTAAAAACTACGGTGATCAGAATCTTCATTTTGCCTCGCTTCCTGAAATCTCTTTGTAGAACCCTGAAAATGAGAATCACTCCCCACCGATTGCTGTAGAGAACTCTGACTATGGCATGATCCCCGACTAGACCCAGAACTCCGAGACTTAGATTTAAAACCGCCAGAGTTAATGACACGTGGCCAAAATCATTTTCTGCTCTTCTTGGACCTTTCTTCTGAAGTTTCTGTCTAACTGTTACCACCTCAGAAGGTCATCTGTGCTCCTTGAGTACGTTATTCTCGAATGGCTGTCTCAACCCTAAATGTTGTCTCTACCAACATATCGAAATTTTGATGCCCATAAGCAGTAACCATAGGGCGGATATCTGCTCTCAATCCTTGCTTGAACCGTCTACACCCATCTCTCTCCTCAGCAACACAATTTTACAAACTTTACATGGTATTCAACAACCAACATAGACCCCTTAATCAATCTTAAAAACTCATTTTGTTTCTCATCACGATAAAATGGAGGATAGTATGTTTCATAGAAAGCCTCCCTAAAAATAGTCCAGGTGATAACACTAGGATCTATCTGCAACCGACATGGATCCCTGAACCAATCTCAAAAATTCATTCTGCTTTGCATCCTGATAAAATGGAGGATAGTACGTTTCATAGAAAGCTTCCCTGAAATTAGTCCAAGTAATGACACTAGGATCTGGATATCGACATCGACACGAAACCCACCAATTAGCAGCTCCTCCCTTCAATAAAAAGATAGCTAGGCGTAATTTCTTATCCTTGATTCAGGAGCAGAAACTCGTCGGTTCTTGATTCGAATACCCGTTCGGGTATTTAATTTAAGAAGAACCGCTCGGTTCGATTCAATTCGGTTCGGGTCCAGTCCGATCCGATTCAATTCAGGAGTTTTGTCCAGCCCTAACTTTTACCCATGATCTGAAATTAAAAGCTTGGAGTAGCATCCATAATCGGTGCTGCCCTTACAGGAAAATTGGAGTTGATCACAGTAGTTTTCATGGACATGTCTACCGTACTCACAGTTCAAGCAAGTTGCTCCAAACAGCCAAACGCCTGCCCTATCTCCCACTTTGAAATTACTCACATTGCAGCCCATTTTTTTATTATCCCAATTATTTAATGCCTATAACCATAAAAGCATATATTACTTGTTCATTTATTAGGAGTCGAGATCTGTTGGGGTTCGTGGTGAAATTAATGAGAATAAATTTGAGATGACATATTAATTTAAAATGACGCGGCAATAATTAATTAGGTGGACAGCAAATTGGGCAGAAAAAATTAGACGGCAGAGCTCAACTCATGAATTAGATCATCATTGTCCTCAACAAAATAGATTAATGAAGAAAAAAGTTAATACTTTTTTTATTGCTGTGTCAAAAGATTGTATTTGTCTAAGGGGAGACGTCGACCCGGATATCTTGTCTTACTTCTTCTTCTGTAGTATGCTTTTGGGCAAAATTAATATTACTTTTATACTTCGTCATTCATTGCACATTTTGTTTTGTGGGCTCTAAATTCTTATATTGAATTTCTATTATAATGTATAAAATTGATTTCTTTTCACGTTATATTTGGACTCTTAAATTAGAATTTTCTTTTTTCAAATGGTACTGAAGATAAAGAACCGTCTTTAAAAATAACATGGTACATAGTAGTGAACGAGAACAAAAGAACAACTCTAAACTTGACTCAATTAAATAAATTGATGCCATTATTTGTGATAACAATCAACGAACAATACTGTTCCAAGATTTGTGCAATCGTAGTGAAGCCGGTTATAGTGTTACCTGTCAAATAATATTATGTGACGACCTTCAAGGTTTAATTTCTTTTTGAGCACAGCCTAAAATCTCTTATAAATGAAAAAGCAGCAAGTGTGAAGAGCCCTAAAGATTCCTGCTAAAGGGTCGTTACAGTTACTCAAACCGATACTTCACATCATTCTTTGCAAGTCGATCAAGAGCTTCATTAATTTGATCGGTAGATACCATCTCAATGTCACATGTTATGTTGTGCTTCCCGCACACGTCCATCATTTCTTGTGTCTCTTCTATGCTGCCTATCATGCTACCTTTCACAACTCTTTTGCCTGCACAATTTAAGATAGATAATGATTTTGGTTAAAATTAGAAGAACTGAAACAAATTGATAAGAGAAGGAAAGCCTAATTACCAAATATCAAGGGGAAGGATGGTAAATCCATGGGCTTATCAGGTGCACCAACAATCACCAAAGTTCCATTGACTTTCAACAACTCCAATAGGGGTCCCAAAGAGTGCTTGGCTGATACTGTATCCAAAATAATGTCTAGGGTCCTTTTCTTTGACTGCACAAAAAAAATATAAATAAAATTGCACAATATTGGACCACTTTGTTTAAGCACTTAATCGGTTAGATATGAAGCCAATACTTTTGTTTAAATTTTCTCTTTAAAGGCTTATTGAACTTCTGAAACAAACCTGCATTTGATCAGCATTGGTGCTTATGATGAAATCATCTGCACCCAATCTCTCTTTAGCCTCTTTCTCTTTGGATGGTGATGTGCTGATTACTATGAAATCATCTGCACCCAATCTCTCTTTAGCCTCTATCTCCTTGGATGGTGATGTGCTGATTACTGATACATGGTGCCCAAATGCCTTCCCAAATTTCACTGCAACATGGCCAAGGCCTCCCAATCCAACAATCCCAATTCTTTTCACAGGTGAGTCCACTAGGTTGTTGTCTTTCATGGGACAATACACAGTTACTCCTGCACACAATAGGGGTGCTCCTGAATCCATCGGCACGCTTTCCGGCACTCGGACGACATATCTGTCGAGAATAAGTTCAATTAAAATAAAATTAGTTCGAGCTTTCACCCAAGATGAAACTTAGAGAATTTGTGGTTCTTTTTATCTTATGTTTGAGTAAAATATATATTTTACCTGTGATCTGCAACCAGAAACTTAGAGTAGCCTCCATAAGTGATGCTGCCATCCCAAAAGATGCCATTATAAGAAAACTGGACTTGATCACAATAGTTTTCTTGGCCATCTTTACAGTATTCACACTTCAAGCAAGTTGCTGCCAAACACCCAACTCCTGCCCTATCCCCCACCTTGAATTTGCTCACATTGCTGCCCACCTTGGTTATTATCCCAGTTATTTCATGCCTATAACCATAAAACAAACATTATTTGTATGTTCGACAAGCTGGAATCGACAGTATTCAACTCCTTCATAAAATAAAGTTACAATCTACTTATAATTGTCGTCTAGAGTGTGTTGGGCTAAGCTTAAAAAGAGTAAAAAGTTTGTTACCAAACATGTGTAATTATATTTCTTTTCAGTAAAAAAAGTACTTATATATTTACTTGCAGGTAAACCTTTTAAGCTTAGATCAAAATGATTATGAAGCTTTTTTCTTCCCACCAACCCCNTCTCTGATTATCATTCATCACACAATATTTAGCTTATGTATGTACACAAATGTTTGTGAAATTACATCGTAACAAAATAGTTTAAGAGGTCACTCAACTTGCGTCTTATTTTTTAGTGGTTCGTTGAACTTTATTTTGTCACAACGAAATTTTATCAAAACTATCCCCTATTTTGTAGGGATTAAAATATAAATTTAATCTAAATCAAAATTTAACAATTAATTTTAATTATACATACATTTCATCAGCTTTTAATTATCATTAAATAAGATCATACTAAAAATTTGATTTTAATCTTTAGCAAATAGGGACATAACTTTATTATTGTGGTTTTTGTCCTCGCAACTACTTGTGCAATAAAATTAAAACGTTGAAGACCAACTTACTACTCAAGGGCCAAACTAAACAATGAACTCAGAGAGAGAGAGAGAGAGAGAGAGAGAGAGAGCATTTCTGATACCTTCTTTTGAAAACGTAAGGCGTGATCTTGCCGGAGGGGTCATGAGCTGCCCATCCTGAAACAGTCTGAGTGTGGTTTGGAGTTGTCTGAGCCATCAAAAACACACACACACACGCTAGAAGAGAGGAGAGAGAGAGAGAGAGAGAGAGAGGAGATGTAATGAACACCTTCAATAATGCACGATTTATTTATGGTTGGAGCGTGGAGTGTGGAGGGACCAAATTAAAACTGTCATAATTTCAGTGTAGTTGCAGTGGTAAGTAGTTGGACTCATTCATATTTATTATTGTTACGTAGCTGCCCGGTTATTGATGAGTGGATTCCATTCATTCTTCAATCATGCTACATAAACATCAAAATTGACATAAAATTTGACATAATCTCACATAATATTTTATTATTGGACAACAATAAAGCTACTTGTACAAAAAAAATTTGACAAAAAGGTTTACAAACTCTCACATGAGCCGACCCCACATGAAAAAAAAATTGGGAAAAAAAATATGGGGGGCCCCCCGATGTGAGGGGCCGGTCAGGGTGTTTGTCACCCTAACCGGTACACCCAGCTCGGTCCATTGGACAATTTAAAATACGACCAACCTTTCTTTTCTTCAAACCCTCATAAATTGTCCAAACGTTCCATTCCATCACTATTCTACAAACTTGAGGAGCTTAATTCGTAGTGCTTCAATTTTCAAAATCATCTCATAAATGACTATATTGGAACATTTAAATATTTTCTACCACGCGATTCTTCATGAGCTTATAAAAGGATGATAATGAGGTTTAAACTAAGATGTCATACCATGTACATCACCGTGAAGAATTTATGAATGATTTAATTTAAAAATAGGTAAAAATAAGTGTCAGATAAGTGAATGGTAATTTTATGTTTATTAAAATATGTAATTAAAAATTATATTCGACCATTTATTAATCATTTTTAAACTTCGATACGTCCCCTCAAATATAAATTGTGGACACATGGCCCAATGAAAACGGATGGTAATTCTAGTCTTTTGTATGGATTTGACACCATATTAAGTCCCTGTTTGTCTACCATTATTTCAAGAAATTGTTTGCTATAGTAAAATTATCTACCACACATTCATTCAATAAAATATTTTACACACAAACCAATAAAGTTACTTTAAATTTCAACCACACATTATCCAAAAAATAATATTTATTACTCTATTTTTCTCCCAATTATGGGAGACAAACACACCCTAATTACCTTATCCAAAGACGGAGCTAGCACCTTGCGAACTAGGATGACCGTCCATGTTGGCTCTGTCGAAAGAATGAGTATATATATTGGGCGGTAGTGCAAACGCAGGTGAGCGGTTTGAACCAGTGGCAATATTGAGAATGAGACAATCTCGCAACGCTTTCAAAATATGAGACATCAGAGAATGTAGTTGTCTGAGCTTACAGTTACGGAGTAAGTTTGTATCATGTATTTGTTATTGTATTTGTTCCTAATATTTTGGGTTTTGTTTATTATATTTTCATATGTATATGATTGTTACATTTTAGTGCATTTATATATTGATAGACCCTAACTTACTCGAAATCCTGAATTTGTCCTTGACCTCATCTAATAGCATAAGCATAAATTGGTAGAGGAAAATCATATATATTAATAATAAATTTTATTCATGTTTGGTTCTAACTTTTTTCTTCAAATTTATTTTCAATCATACATTTTATAGGTTTCAATTTTAAAACGATGCATTTCAACAACCTTTATTAAATTTATTAAAAAATTGATTATTAACAAAACCAAAGAGGGGCTTTATTTTTTAACACATAGGAGGCCAATAATGGAGAAATCTACAACAATCAACCACCACGAATCATTTCCTATTTGTGGCAAAAAAAAAACCATGAAAAATATAAGTTTCTCAAACAAACACAAGAAAAATAAAAGAAAGTTGGTTATCATTTCCTATTCGTTATAATTTAATCCAGTCAATTATAAGAAAGTGCACTGCAATTTCTATGGAAAATTTAAAATTGACCAAAAAGATGGAATAATATTTTTATTACGATCAAAAGAATGTTAAGCTTAGACTCATTCCCTTGGAAAGTTGTTACTCCTTTCCTAGAATAAACTTCCAAACTATTATCAAACAAATAAGCCCCTGTTTGGCAACCTTTCTTTTAATTTTTTTTCGTGGAAAATAGAGTTTTGAATAGTGATTTTTAAGATAATGTGTGGTTAAAAAGTGAAAAAAATTTTGAATTTTAAAATATTTTATTGTGTGAATGTGTTGTTAAAAATGAATATATAGAAAAAAAGAGTTTGAAAATAATGGTTGTCGGGACTTAAATTAGTGACGTCGAATTTCACGAGATGCCTTCTGACAAAATTCTTGTGATCTAATGGGAAAATTAGGGGTGGAGTCCACAACCTTTCAACAGGTGTGGTTATAAATTCTCAATCTTTAAAAGTGAAATTTCTTGTCTCCATCCTACGTAAATATGTGGATTTGGATCTCTATATGACTAAAATCATCAAAGTGGGCATTAAAATCACGTCCAATTTTAAATGATGCACAACTAGATGATAAGAAGAGTCAAATCATTTAACATTTATTTTCAATTCAACTGAAAGTCGCGTGCAATTTTAACGTCCAAATTAATGATTTTCATCACGTAAAGACCCAAATTCGCATATTTAGGACCCGTTTGACATGATTTTTAAAAAAGTCAAAAGTCGCAATTTAGAGACCAAAAAACAGTTTTTGGACCCGTTTTGACTAATTTTATGAAAAATTTTCTTTTAATTAGAAGAGTTTTTAGATAAAGTTGAACTGTTGGTCCAATGTGACTTACTCTAAAAGCACCTTGAAATAAAACATAGTTTTCAAAGTTAATTTTCAAACAAGTATTAAAATAGTTTTCTCCAAAATCTCTTCTAAAATAAATAAATAAAGTCAAACAGACCCTTTAATATGTGAGAATACAAAATCTCACTTTCGAAATCTAAGGACCTATAACCACACCAAGTAAAAGATCAAGAGATCCAACTTTGATCTACCCTTATCAAACAATATTTCATTCATATATAGAACAATATCAAACACTGCACTAATAGTACTAAACTAATTCAGCAACATAATTCTACTACCAAATAAGAAAAAATAATAGTAACTACCTTTTTTTTTTGATAACCGTGGATGGCCGGGCCAACTTGCGCGCGCCTCGACTAATTCCACGAGGCCCTGACGTTTACGGTCGGGTACTCACCTTAGTGGCCCTGAGGAGACTTGAACTAGTGACTATTGTGAAGCAAACTCAAGGCCTGACCAATTGAGCCACCCCTCAGGGTTAGTAACAACTACTTTTTAACACAAAAAAGTAATAATAACAAATACTTCAATTGCGATTTATTTCTAATAAATTTAGAGTTGACAATACACACATTTAAAAACGAGGACTTACTATAGACATTAAGTTGTATGTTTTTGTAGTTGAAAATTATTCCAGTCACGGCCCTACGCTTCCCGTCTGTCACCTAATAAACTGCCATTAAATATGTTTGCTATTTTTCCATTCACATGGAAACAGGCCCTCATTGGTAGTTGATAATAAATGCGTTGGCCATTTTTTAATGTGATTTTCGGAGAAAAATAGAAAATGCATTTTGAAATGGTGATTTTTTGAAAAATACTAGTTAAAAAATAAGGAAAATTTTTGAATTTACGTGTAATATTATCTTATGAAAGAATGTATGATTGAAATTGAGTTTTTTTAAAAAAATGTATTTTGAAAAAAAAAATGGAGCCCAACATGAGCTATCTTTAAGGGTCTGCTTAGGATTTTTTTCGCCACCAGTTTTGACTGATTTTGGGTGGCACTATTTATGAGGATTTGTAAAAATTGGTGTTTGCTAGTTTTTTTTTTAAATACCGATTTTGGATATTTTAAACCACCTAAAATCAATATAGTGTAATTTTGACCGATTCTCTTAACCCATCAAATCGACGGATTTTATATGTTTCTCATGTTCTCTTCTAATTTTACCATTTATAAAACAATTATTTCCAATCAATATATTTTCATCAAAACTAACTTGTAAATAAAATACATTAGCTCAAAATTATTTATAAGCAGAAAATTATATTAAAATTTTAAAAATATATATTTATAAGTAAAATATTACTTATAAGATAAGAAAAAAAATATAAAAAGCTACTTATATATATAATTTCATTTTTTAAAATTTTTTTTAGAATTGGTGAATAATAAACTCCAAAACATAGGTTGGAAAATTTTAAAAGTCGCTGCTAAACCATTCAAAATCAATCAACTTATAAAACTCAAAATTGGTGCTTTTAAAATGCTCATAACCGATACGTTGAAATTCCCAAACATTTCGCAGCTTTTTCCTATCCTTATGTAAAAGAGTCATTTTGAAAAAAATACTCTTGCCATTCTTTTAAAAGCCAAACCACCGAGTATTTATTGACCAAAAAGAAAGGGACATCAATGATAATTATATTTGCACTGCAATTTTTGTTTGAGTAATTATATTTATACTAAAATTTTTGTTTGGATAATTATATTCAAAATTTTTTTTAAATGTACCATATTTTAATTGCATTAAAGGTCTCTAACATTTACTTATTATCATAATTATGTTCTCAACATTTTTCATCACATTCTTTTCCTCAATCTATCATTAATTGATACATATAGTCCCCATGACAACTTCTGTCTGAAAATTTTAATAGTATACTTTAAAATAAAGATCAAATATTAAGCCGCACTTTTCTATTTGTTATATTTTGCTTATTTAAAAATGTGATGGGTAAATAAGTATTTTTACGTCCTCGTAACAAACATTTTGAATGAAAATTGTAATCGAGGATAAGATATGTTATGTTGATGATAAAAATAAGATTACACAACATAATTATGACAAGAAGGTTAATGACCTTTAATGCAATTAAAATTTTGAAATTGTTGGTCACACTTTTTGTTTGTTGCACTATATTTTAATGTAATGAAGATTCTCAATTTTTTCTCATTATTAAACTTATGTTCCCAACTTTTTCGTCAAATTTTTAGCATAAACTTCTAGTTA